AAAAAAAGAAAAAAAACCTGGCAGGCTAACTTGTCAGCTTCCAATTAGGGTAGAATCTCAGATCTTTCACGGTTTTGACTTACAATGAAAATAAACTTGCAATCCCTATCCGGGTCCCCTTTTGCACCAACAAGAGTTCAGTTTCTATTCTTCACACTTGAATAAATCCTACTCTTTTCACTCTTGAAAAAAAAAAGAAAATGAACAAACTCTAATTTCTTGTGCATAAGATGGATGAATCTCATCAACAGTGTTGGGCAAAAGAAACTGCAAGATACAAAAGAATACATAACATTATTATTCTTTTAAAAAAATATTTTATAGTAGATGGACACAATACTTCCACTTTATGTGATGGTTAGGATCAAACCCAATGCCTTACATGTGCTAGGCAAGCCCTCTACCAACTGAGCCACAACCCTAGCCCAACACTATTATTATTATTATACAAATTTTAAAAAGTGGGCTTGGGCTGGGGGTATAACTCAATAGTAAAGAGCTTGTGCTGTGGCTGGGGTTGTGGCTCTGCGGTAGTGTGCTCACCAGCACGTGCGAGGCCCTGGGTTTGATCCTCAGCTCCACATAAAAATAAATAAATAAAATAAAAGTACTATGTCCAACTACAACAAAAAAATAAATATTTTTTTAAAAAGGAGCTTGTGTAGCAAGGCTTGGGCCTGGGTTAGATCCCCAGCACTGTAGATAAGTAAATAAAATAAAAACCAGGCTAAATTAAGCCATAACTGTTACAAATCAAGAAGTGGGTTACACTTGGTTACATTGGAAGTTGGTGGGGGAATGATGAAAGAGGCACAAGAAGCCAGACACCAATGCATTACACACCTGTAATACTAGCTACCAAGGGGAGGGAGCTAAGACAGGAGAATGGCAAGTTCAAGGTCATCCTGAAAACTTAGGAAAACCCCATCTCAAAAAAATAAAGAGTTGAGGGTGTAGCTCAATGGTAAAGTGGTCTTGTGTTCAATTCTAGGAAAGAAAGGGAGGGAGAGAAGAAAGAACTAAAAGAAAAAAGTATAGGAGAGTCAGTTGGCTTGTTACGTGTGTGTTCATTTTGTGTTCATAGATTCTACATATTATGTATATTAAACCTCACTGAAAAGTTAAATGTAAACTAGAAATATATATAACAACATGGATAATTATCAAATCTGCCAACTTGAAAGAGAAGGAAAGTTTAAGACTGTTGTATAGTACAATGATTTCTTTACATTAAAAAAATGGGGCACAGTGGTGCACACCTGTAATCCCACTGGTTCAGGAGGTTGAGGCAGGAGGATCTTGAGTTCAAAGCCAGCCTCAGCAATTTAGTGAGGTTCTAAGCAACTCAGTGAGACCCTGTCTCTAAATGAAATACAAAATAGGGCTGGCTCGGTGGTCTAGTGCCCTGGGTTTAATCCCCAGTACCCCCTAAATAAATAAGCTAAAAATAATACAAACAATATATACAGTTTATAGATCCCTAATTACATAGAAAAAGAATAAAAACATGGAAAGGAATGATCAACAAACCCCAAGATTACACTTACTTCAGAAAAGAGAGGGAGGAGGATGGAATTGGATAAGGGAGGTAGGTTTCAGCTAGGAGTCTATTTTGTTTCTTAAATACTTTGTTTCTTAAAGATACTTTGTTTTTTAAAAATACTTTGTTTCTTAAATAACAATAACAACTACAAAAAACTTGAGGCAAGTGAAAAATGTTAAGATGTAATGGGAAGAGGGTCCACAGGTGTTCCTTATTATTCTCTACTACAAATTTACCACTGGTATTAAATTGAATTTATAGATTAATTAGGAGACACATTGATCCAAAATTGATTCTTCATGCCTGGAACATAATATGTCTCCCCATTGATCTAGGTCAGCTTTTCTTCTATAAAAATTTTTAGAGGGCTGGGGATGTGGCTCAAGCGGTAGCGCGCTCTCCTGGCATGCGTGCGGCCCGGGTTCGATCCTCAGCAGCACCACATACCAACAAAGATGTTGTGTCCGCCGAGAACTAAGAAAAAATAAATAAATGTTAAAATTCTCTCTCTCTCTCTCTCTCTCTCTATCTCTCTCTCTCTCCCCGTCTCACTCTCTCTTTAAAAAAAAAAAAAAAAAAAAATTTTTAGAGCCCATACTTTTTTTTTTTTTGCT